GGTGGCAGGAAGTTTAGCAGTGCAGCCAGCACTCCCATCTGATTCACCACAACCTCAATCAACCCCCCTGAACGCGGGAAGTTGAGTCTTAGAGCCCTCTTTACGTCTTTAGTCAGCTCGAACATACTGCAAGAAATTAACTGTGGTTTATTTTGCAGGATCCACCCAGTTTGGTGGAAATCATGGAGGAGGCGACGGGACCGGACAGGTATAGGTGGGCTGCTCCCGAGGATGAGGAGCAGCTGGCAGCCGTGCTGGCCCTGAGCCGGCTGTATGTCCAGCAAGGAGGCAGCGAGGAGACGGCATGTCCCTGTGACGATCCCTACGCCGAGGCCTCCCCCGTTTTGGACGTGCAGCCAGCCCTTCCTCTGTCCTCCAAGGATCGGAGGGGACCCAGGAGGTTGGTAATGAAAAGGAAGGTGCTGAGGCGCAGACCTGACGGAGGAGTAGAGGTCTCTGACGAGTCAGTGACCAGCGAGCCGGAGAGCGAGGCCGAGGCTTGGAGCCTGAGGCAGAAAATGCTTCAGCTAAGGACCGGTCCGGAAGACAGCATCTCCGAGGGGGAAATGGAAACGAGCAGCAGCTCCCTCAATGAATCCCCTTACCGGTGGCCCTGTGAGGACAGTCCCCCCTTTCCTGGGCATTTTGGGAGCCGGAGGTCTCCCGCTTCTCAGTACACTGCTGCGGCAGGACAACCCAAGTCCTTCATTCCTCCACGGTTTGAGCCACTGGGCCATAACCGGGGGAAAACCGACCGAGTGGCCAAATATTTTGAATATAAACGCGAATGGGAGAAATTCCGAATCCCGGGGGAGGATCAGCGGCAAGAACTGCGCTGGGGCATCCGGGAGCAGATGCTCTGCAAGCCCGAGCTCCCCAGCAAGCCGCAGCACCTCTGCGTCCCCAACGCCTATGCTGTGCCGACTGAAAAGAAGAGAGCTGCCCTGCGCTGGGAGGTGCGCTGGGACCTGGCCAACGGCCTCCTCCCCAGAAAAAACACCTCCTCCTAGTTTCCTAAAGCCCCGCTCCGCACCCACAATCTCTTAACTGCGCACATGCTGCTCTCCTGAGTACTTTTTTTTTTTTTTTTCTTCCCTCCTGAAAGTCCTCGATAATTTGGAAGGACTTTTATTTTTTTGCACTTCTCTGTCAGTTAGTTCTGGGATAAAACTTTACCCAGCGCCTCAGGTTGTTAAATGGGCTGGGTAAAACTTCCCTGCTTCCCTGCCGCATCATGCAAAGCTTCTTTCCGCGTTAAAATTAGTTTATTAAATTAGTATGGGGAGCAGGCACCAAAAAACCATGCAGCGCAGGAGACTTCTTGAATATCAGGAGAAATAAGAATATAACGAGCGTGGTGATTTTTTGGGGGGATGCAATTGCCCCTGGATTGCTGTGCGAGTTATCGGGGCGGTTTTATTTACGGCGTCTCGGCAATATCTTTCTTTAATAAAGCCTGTGGAAAGATTTGTTATAGTCCTGCGGGTTAACGAGCAACGCCTCCTAAACCCCGCGGGCAGCGTCTA